GAGGCTCGTTCGGGGAGGTTGACCAACCCGATCCCGTTTATATGGGTTCTATGGGCATTTTTGACCGAGCCTACAGGCTCGGGAAACCCACGTTAAACTCAGCCTTGTGCCACATGCAACCCTCGTGGGAGTGGGGGTGCTAAATACCGAATCGAGCCGAGCTTCTCGGCTTCACGGTCGAACGCTCTGCCTCTGAGCAGAGAAGAACCCAGACGAGGCTCCGCCGAAGGGCAGAGTCTCGTTCGGGGAGGTTGACCAACCCGATTCCGTTTATACGGGTTCTGCGGGCATTTTTTGGCCGAGCCTACGGGCTCGGGAAACCCACGTTAAACTCGGCCTTGTGCCATATGCAACCCTCCTGGCGGGGGCTAGATACCGAATCGAGCCGAGCTTCTCGGCTTGACGGTCGAACTCTCTGCCTCTGAGCAAAAAGGAACCCGGACGAGGCTCCGCCGATGGGCAGAGTCTCGTTGACCAACCCATTTCTGTTTTTACAGTTTCTACGGGCATTTTTGGCCGAGCCTACGGGCTCGGAAAATCCACGTAAAACTCTGCCTTGTTCCACATCTTTCCCTCGTAGAGAAGGGAGGGGGCAAGTAAATATCGAATCGAGTCGAGCCGATAGTAGTTCACTCCAAACCAGACTGACAGTCATACTAACACCCTCCACATCTTGTATTATTATTTCGTGTAATATACCTTCGTTATTTCTACTCTTGTGTTCGTGTTGTTCTTTCTTGGTCCTAACCTGGACCATAAACACCAATAATATGCCCTATCCGGTAACATTTTATTTTGAAAGTATTTACTTTGTAAAATTAGTGCAAACATTTATAACGTCTGATAGAAATACGAGATTAAATATCCAGTACTTTAAAAAAATTAACCTCGATCGAATCAATGTATGGAGCTTCAAGTCTTTCATCGGACGTTAGATCTTTTTCTTGAGAGGATGTGAGGGATTCTCCTTATTCTTTCATAATAGAATACATACATTCAGCTGTGTTTGCTTGCTTATGTTGGTGCATCCACTGACATCATTCGTGTTTCGATTCTGCTCTTGTTAGCTTTGCGGGTTCCTTCTATGACAACCATAAAATTTCTTACGTCTTCTGACACTTCGAAGTGACACCGAGTACAAAACATATTTTATATCCCATAGCGTGAACGCGGTATATATTGGGCCCACCACAAATCAACTCTTTTTAGCTCAAGAACATTAAGTTTGATTTAGTCACCTTGTATTTCCAGGCATAAATCATATACTACATCAGGAATTCAATTTTTCCATATGATTGCGATTCTCGCCGATAGTTCCATAAAGCTAATCAACATAGACTGAAGTTTTTTTTAAGTAATTAAAAGTAGTTTGAGAAGCTGATAAGAAAATTAATTTTGTTTTCAGAAAGAATCCGTCATTAAAAAAATAAACTATAAAAACAATAAAAAGATGAACAAAGGTCAAAAAGGTTGATTTTTTATCCAGTATGATTCTACCTCTTATTCTATTTACTTTAGAATGTCTTATAATTATTTTCCACATATCATTTTCTGTTGTTTTTTTTTATTTGCTATATATGTAATTTGTTTTTTGTTTTGTTATGAGCTTTTATTGATTTTAGTTCCATTTTCCGAGCGTTTTCAAAGAAATCCGAAATTCTTTTCCTGCTAATTTCAATATCCTTATTTTGTCTGAAAAGAAATATTTTTATAGCGAATGCATTATGTCAAGCCTCAAGAAAAGCTGTTAATTAACTTCCGACTGAAGGCGCTTCCATAATTGTAACATTAAATGTTTCTTATTAAGAAATTACTAATTCGCTACACTGGACCATTCGCGTTAATGGTAGACTAGTTATTGCATAAAGATACACATTCGATCTAATAATGTCAAGATTAACTGGGGTTGTCTGGTATAAAATGGTGTTATATTGATTTCTTCAAATTAATCTTGAAAGAAATCATTTCACAAGACGTAGATCGAAATTTGCAAAATCTTTTTCCCCAATAAAAACAAATTAGTAAATTATCATCATCGCCGAGCAGACAGGAAATTTTCTCCGGTCATAATAAAGAGATGTATTCTCACCGAGGTTCCTTAATTTGAACCTCTATTGAAATTCAAGTTCACCTCAGGCCGCAAGGAGAACTCATATATACGATCAATAGCTAAACATACAGAAAAATTATCGGCTCATTGTGCACCTCCAAAAAGAACCTGGTTCATTCTAGCATCCTTCATTTTTACAAGAGAGAAAATGAAGTATTACTGTCATATCAGGGTTGAAGCTGTTTAATCCACTGTTTACAGCCTTAGACGACCTCAAAAAGATTTAGCGTGGCTTTATAAGGAATGGCTAATTTTCTATCAGATGCAACATCGCAAACAAATTACTACTCTGTCAATACTTCCATAGAAACTGTTCAGATGAGCTCAATACTTTGATGCCACGTCCGGCTTTGCTACGTCTACAGAATTATATCATCGTCATTCCTATGTAATTCTTGGGTAAGAAGGGTGTTCCACACAGAAAAAAAAAACCTTTCCAAGAACCGCTACTTTGTGGAACAGTCTTTCTTCTACAATCACTAGAATTTTGATATATTCAAATCTGCTGACACTTCACCGATAGAGTAAAAACTTTTCTTTGGTTGTTCCAACTCTGAGCAAAGTTGAATTGTACGCGACAATTATAATGATACTTATCCTTATTAACCCTAAATTCTGGGGCAAAATGAAGACGGACATATCCAAGAGGCATTAAGAAGCTTCTTTCACTACAGTCACCATAAAAAGAGAATAAACGGTCCGTAGCTGAAATCTTAAGGTTTTGTATGCTTCTTCTTTAATTATTCACATGTGAACACGCACCCCACCTACAATACATACCAACACGCAGCCTTTAAATTCCCTAATCATTTGTTGTCCCTTAATTTAGAGAAACGTCATTATCATTCCGATAGTTCATAGGAAATACTATTACATGTTTATTGCTTATTTGTAACCACTCCGTAAGAAAAGTGTTAATACTGCTTTTTTTTTCAGAAATACTTCAAAAAAGAAAGACAAGTTTGTTCATAAAATAATCAGATCTGTCTATATTTCTGACATGAAGTATTGTAACTATTTACATTATTTACATTGTTCGGCTGATCATATATGGAGAGAAAGGGGAGATCACCACTCTCTGTCGGATGATGTTGAAATAATAGACAGAGAACATCATTGGAAAATAAGAAAACTTAAGGAATCAACGCATATGCTAGGCTACAAAAATCTCCTAAGTCGGCTAAGCATACATATGTATACAATATGGGAACCAGTAATATAAAGTGCTAGAGAAAAACAATGACAAATTGTAATATGAGATCTGGTAAAAATGGTTATGAGGCATTAGGGGTATACGTCTCAAACATTAATTAACTGATGTCCTCAAGAACACAATGCACAGTGGATAAAAGTGTTGGTTGAAGTAATCCAGTGACTTGACCCAAAGAGTTGTGAAGTGAAAAAAAATGGAGAGTTGAGTTACTCAAAGGAATTAGCTGATATTGAGATATCCAGAAAAGACACAATACGTGAAACTAAGACGAGTGGGCCAAATAAAGGTTTCGATTCGAAATTCCAACGTATATAATCTGAAGAAGGCCAAGGCGTACAATGGCCGAAATGTGGTGAATAGTCTGAACAATTTAAATAAGGCAATTAAAATAATCAGTTCAACCCATTTCTAGCTACGCTTGCTGAGCAGGAGATTCAACTCTCAGTTATTTGTATAACACAGTTAATACTTCAGCTTTGTGTGTGGGAATGCTCGTCAATTCATTTCCAGTTAAGAAAATAAATTCACATGCGTTGCACGGAAATCTGCACGTTATACAAATATATAAAGATTTATCACTTTTAATCTGTTTCGTATCTATTATTTAAAACTCATTTCAGAGATTGGATAAAATTTGAGATCGCTTGTAGTCTTGATGGAAAAATATATTCTGGTAAGAAAGAAAATTTTAAAAAATAAAGTTCAGCAGTTAAACATTATACATTATAACAATTCTATCTAAAATACTGAAGGTTAAATATACATTTTTCTCCCTCTTTCCTTCGCTCTCAGTTTTTCTTTCTCTATCTATCTATCTCTTTATTCCCTTTCAGTTACTCTCTCTCTCTCTCTCTTTATCTATCTATCTATCTATCTATCTATCTATCTATCTATCTATCTCCTTTATATGTTTCCCTCTGATCTCTCTGACTCACTCTGTATTTCCCTTCCTTCAATCACTCTAGTTCTTTTCAACAATCTCTATCTCACTAGACGCTTTCTCCTCCCTCTCTATCAAATATTTTCCCTCTCTATATAACTCTATTTTTCTTCTCACTTTCAAGTCCCTTTCCCTGATTTACTCCCTCTCTCTCTCTCTCTCTCTCTCTCTCTCTCTGTGTCTTTCTCTCTTGATAGTTGTTATCGCTCACTGTCTATCTATCTATATATATATATATATATATATATATATATATATATATATATATATATATATATATCACTTCAAACGTTATTTTAGTAGATACCCATATGTGAGTAGACGCTCCGTTTATTTATTAAACAGTATATTTATTTACTTTCATCAACCGGCCTGTTTATTCAAGAAATCTTAAGCAAAAAAATATGCAGGATTCGAACGTGCAACCTCCGCAGAAGATTTGCTTGATCGGCGACGCATACCGTGGTTTAGCCGGTCTATAGAAAATCGTATATATATATATATATATGTGTGTGTGTATGTGTGTGTGTGCGTGTGTGTGTGTGTGTGTGTGAAAGAGATTTCTCCGTATGTAGAAAAACATTATTCTGGCAATCACATCAAGCGTATTCCGTCGACCACCCTGTTCTTTAGCGATTGATTTCACCATGTTGATGATTTTAAAATGTTTAGCACTACCAATATTTTGATGTCTTTTTTTTTTCATATACCCAGTATAAATGGCTGTACGAACATGTTTAAAGAATGAGAGAGAGAGAGAGAGAGAGAGAGAGAGAGAGAGATGAACAGATTGAAACATGTAACAACCAACTAATCGAGTGAGGAACTATTTCTTGTCAGTAAGCAGATAGACTTAAATAGACCAATACACCGGCTTTTTATCAATATTAATTACATGTCTCTCCTTCGGTTTGGAACGCTTGAAGTCATTTTCCACCACAAAAGACATTTAGCATTGAAAATAATTATATAATAAAACCTCGATATTTGCTGTTGCGAGATTAATTATTAATTGAAAACCGGTGCATACACAGATGTCATAGTTTTTTTTCTCCTTGCATTTTTTTTTGTCTTTGTTTTGTTAGCCCTTAATTGTGTTGCAATGTTCGAATTGGCTATTTATGCTCAGAATCTCGACCGCTTTGTATCAACGTAATTAATTATCCTTGTTCGTTTCACAGAACAGAGGCAGTCACTGGCCTTGTTAATGGCTCAGCACGACTAAAATAAATGTTGCTTTATACTCACTAGGCTGCTTCTGTGGAGATTCCAAAATGTATTTTCATAATTTGTAATTGAAATAATAATGAATGAAAAAATTCACCTAATGGAAAATATATCATCCTTCGAAATCATTTCAGTTTTGACAAAGATTATATATATATATATATATATATATATATATATATATATATATATATATATATATACCCAAGTATATGATTGGTGTATACGGAATAAATTCCAATAGCCAACGATTACTATTCTTAAAAGAGTGCTCAATACAGAGTAGAGCGAATATAATTATTTATTTTAAAATTATAACATAAATATGTTATAAAATCACTACATTTTGTTTCAACACCTCTGGTGTCTTATCAAGTGATGATGTTGAATGTAGATTTTATAGCATATTTATGTTACAATTTTTAAATAAATACTTATATATATATATATATATATATATATATATATATATATATATATATAGGATCATCAGGATGAACTGGCTGATGATATCATGTGGTGAAACCTCGGTCGGTAGTACCTGGCTCATTAGCATTTATTTATTATATATATATATATATATATATATATATATATATATATATATATATATATATATATATATATATATGCATGTTTCGTTAAAAACGACAGACAAGGTACTACAGTTGAGCTTTTATTTAATTTTTCTTGTGTTCTGACAAGAGCTTTCTTTTCTGGACAAAGAGTGTGTAAGAACTGTCCGAATGTTCTGTGTTTCCGAGCGCTTTCGGCTATACCTTTTAGCCATTATCAAGGATGGTTCAATTATCAGCTTAGTAGAGTGTGTGTTCTATGTATGTTCAGTGTGTGGTAGTAATGTTTTAGTTTCCGAATACGCTCAGAAACACAGAACATTCGGACAGTTCTTACACACTCTTTGTCCAGAAAAGAAAGCTCTTGTCAGAACACAAGAAAAATTAAATAAAATGCTCAACTGTTGTACCTTGTCTGTCGTTTTAACGAAACATGCATAAAGGAAGGATTGCTGCCTAAATATACAAATATATATATATATATATATATATATATATATATATATATATATATATATATAAGTTCTGTAAACAGATTAGCTCCTTTCTTAATTCTTTCGAATGTCTACTAGTCTCTTGCCATTTCTTATGTTCTCAATTCTAATATGCTCTTTAAATATCAGGCTATCCATATAGAACTTCACCAGTAAACAAAAATAATTTCCATCACGTCATGTATAAGTAATTTTTTTATAAATAAGTCTGTATCGCTCAAATTCTTTGAGTTCACACATAAATGAATGTGTATACGTATTCACACATACATGTGTATATACATTTATATCTATCTACATGTGTGTGTATGTGTATGTATGTTTGTGAATGTATATGAAATTGTGCATGCCTTCAGACACGCACATATTGATATCAATTCGATGGAGGCGACGACAACGTCATAAATCAAAATTCAGAGAGAAAGTCGCCAGTCAGAAACGTGATCTCCACTTGAGGCCTGAATTGCACCAAGCGAATCGCGACTTCGTGACGAAAATTAGCACTTCAGTCGCGCCGGAGAAACAAAGAACTCAACCTATCAAACCGTTCTAAACGTTATTTCCCCAAACAAAAGAATGCCGATTAATATATTCTCTCTCTTTCGCTTTTCATATCTCATATTTCCATTCTATCTTTGAAAGAGTTCGCTAAATTTTGGTCGTCTCATATATTTACGAGTTTACTTCTTGCTTTTTTATTGGTCTTTTCTTCTTCCAATAAATTTATTTATTCTCATATTTCGTGCTAGCTGCCAGACTTTTTCATGATATCTGGCTGCAAATTATGTGTAGGGAGAGATAGATTCAAGCCTGTTATTCTTTGCTTGTTCTTTACGCGATCATGCAACTTTTATTCTTCGTTATTCCTGACACGACGTCGATACCATTAACTTAGTTGATACGCTTAGCATAACTTCGTCTGGTACAAGGTTACAACGTGAGCACTAAAAGGCCTTTCGCGCTAGATCAATGGTACCCATAAACACATTTAAAGTCAATCTAAATTGAAAATACCTTCTTGAAAATAGTTTTATTTGAAATTGTGAATAAGTTCTTCTAAAGGAAATAAAAGTAAATTAGTGTTCACAACATTACCCCTGCTTGAGATACGGTATAGCGTTTAGTTTAGATTTCCTTTCCTGTCAGGAATTAGAATCTTATAACCTGCAGCTAAGATCTCCATAGATACTTCATTAAGAATTTGTCTCGTTTATAGTTTCAAAAATCTACAGGGTGCTTCTTTAATGCATTCAAAATATGTTTCAAAAACTTCAAATACCCTGTGGGTATTTGAAGTTTTTGAATACGGGTGTAGTGTAGGGATTATCACCGCTGAAAGTAGGATTGGCGTTTCAAGTTCAAATCGACTTTCACACAAATACCCTTCGAAATGTATAAATCTATCTCTTCTCACTCAAACTCGGAGATAATAGCAGGGTAAACTAGACTATCTAGCTTTGAAAGATACAACTATGAATTCCAAACAAGTTGGGTACTGATCTAGCAACTCCACCCGACAAATTTTGCTACGGAAACCTCAGCAGCAACCACGTGTCATGGTGAGTCCGTCGCCTTCTACTCCAACTGGGGAATTTATATACTTACAGATATACCCAGAGTTCATAATGGAATCTTAAGACACCAGATAATCGGCTGTTCAAAATAAACAAAGGTATGGATAACTTCTGTTTGTCGGATGCTGTCATGGTTAGATTCAAGACATTAATCAAAAGTTTACACTTTTTATTCAGAATTCTTACATAGGTTTAATAATAGAAAAACACAAAGCATATTTTGAACTAAAGATTGTTTCTCTCCTTACAAATCCGTCTCTAGGATTATCTCTTAGCTTTACAAGATATTCCTTTCACTTCATCAGCATTGGAGAAACATTTGTCGGTTAGAAAATGTAATTGGTCTATCTCAGAAATGCTTCAGAGTGGACGGATACTAAGCTCTGCTCCTATGCAGAAAACAGTAAGGATCGTAGATCTAAATAGATTAATATGCTTTGTCGTAGAAATTCAAAGATTCCTATATCTATTGATTCAAATAATGAACAAGATTGTATCTTAGTAGTAATCGTAGACGTTATATGGTTTATTTGAGTGATGCTATTGTTACCAAACCTGTAATAATCTCTATCTATAAAAGGCAGGATGTGTGTGTGTGTGTGTGTGTGTGTGTGTGTGTGTGTGTGTGTGTGTGTGTAACGGATGCACGGCCGCAATCTTTGACGGATTTGCACCAAAATTTACATGCACGTGCTCCAAGTTAGCAGGAAGGCCAAGACCGACTTTGCATTTCCCAACTCCCATCGATAGTGGAAATAATCGATTTTTTTTTTGCTTCCACGCCAGTTTTCATGTAGTTTGCGGCCATTTTCTACTGGCCAGAGTGAGAGCCTACAGCTGGCTGCCACGAATAGGCAGGAAGATTCTATTGGCCAGCGTGAGAGCCAACAGCTGACTGACACGAATGTTAACTAGCATGCTAGCATGCAAAAATAATCGATAGCTGCATTCGTCACAAGGGGGAAAAATTTAAATCTGCATGGCACTTCACTCCAATTGGCTCATTCGCTTGCTTAAACTCAACGTTGATTCTGATTCCGCAGAACTGGGTTGGGTGTGAAAAAGTATTTGTTGTTAACATTCTTTTTTCATTCGGTTTTTCCAGTTACGAGTCCTTTTTTAAAGCTGATCGTTTTGTGTTCACTTTGTTTAGTTCTTTTTTCGTAACAGATTTAATGTTTAGTATAGAGCTTAGAAAAATTCGCAGTGTGAGATAGGCAAGAAGTAAGGCATGTAGCAACATCAGCACGGCAAAGGGCACTCCTTTAAAGGCAAGGAAGGGCAAAAATAAGTCAAGTGATAGCGATTGCTGTATGAGTCGTACGATTTTTTAATCAAGCAACGCCGGGCTATGCTGCTAGTGAATTAATAAAAAGGAACACTCATAAAGTTCAGGGATGCTAGTTTATAACTCACCAGCTACTTAATCTTTGTTGTCCATGATTTCTGAACAGTTCTAGAATAATTATCTGAGAGAGCAATAGAAAACAGCAAATATAAGAGTAAAAAAATGATATTACTTAACCAAAGAAGTACGTAAGATATAAATCATTAAGTATTTTATTAAAAAATTCATTTTTTCAAAGACAAATAGAAAGAGTCTGTCCTTAAAATTAAATTATCTCTTCTCTTTCAGCTAAAAGTAAGGTTTGATTTAATTCTCTTAATTTATCCAATTTAATGGCATAATTAATATTGACATTTTGCAAGTGTCCATAATGTAATGATACATGGCTCGGAAAAATAATTTATCAGTATTTCATCTTAAATTCAGTTGATATTTAGCGCGACATCAGTCTACAGTGGTAATTATTTACCCAGCCTCTGCACTAAGGTAGGCTGTGACGCATGGTTGTTTCTTTTTTAACATAGAGAGCGCATAGACAGACGCATATGGACAAAAGACAAAAATTGTCCAGTCCCCTCGACCACCGTCATGCTGGTGTTGATATTAAACCAACTGTTCCTCTCTTAGTGCAATGAGGAAGGTGCTGTTGCAAGCTTGGAATCCGTGAGACCTGGTGCCTTCACCAATCTAAAATGAGGAGAACAGTTTACGCCATTTCTAGGCAAAAGCGAACTTCTGTGAAGTAAACATCGTAGATCGAAAACGAGACTCGAATTTATATTTCATTTACATCGGATAGCCTGCTGTGTACAGCAATTGCTATACCTATTGAACGACTAAGGCTTTTACGGTGGACAGCAGAATCACTAAATTACTACAAAATACTACTAAGACGCACTAAAATACTACGCATTAATAATAGTATATAATGTTTAATCTAATAAAAAATAAAATCATAATAATACCACTGGTGAGTGATGGCAATTTGCGTTTAGCGAGCGTGAACATTTCAGAATCGCATATATACTGTATTAAACGTAATTAGATATGATTTCTCAACATTTCCGAGTGGTACCTAAAGTCTAGTTCTCCTTTATATCACCAAGATTGTTTATTATTATTATTATTATTATTTTTTTTTTGTGTGTGTGTGTGTGTGTGTGTGTGTGTGTGTGTGTGTGTGTGTGTGTGTGTGTGTGTGTGTGGCATTTTTGGTTTCCATTAATCTAGAATAAACATGTAGATTTGAAGTCGGAAATGTCTAAATTAACAGTAAGAAAAGATCAAAGATGTCTGACGTGACAAGTTGAAGTCATCAAATAACGCAACAAAAAATGAGGCTTTCTGGTGGGGTAAGAGGCAAGGTTAACAGTCGGTCAGTCTCGGAGCGTTCGTGATTGTCAAAGAAAATGTCTGATTCCTCGGTAAGCATCATAAAAACATGAGAGGCATGAACTCACGAGAGATGCTATATCAGATCGACAAACGTCATCAGAGTCTAACGGCTTTACTTGAGAGGTACTTTTGATCAGAAAAATCAAAGAAAAATACGTCATTACTGTGTCTTTTCAGGGTTTTCTTCCTCTTCTTGGGTCCTTTTAACCTCTTTTTCTATCTAGCAATATCTCTCTCTCTCTCTCTCTCTTTCGCTCTCTCTCTCTCTCTCGCTATATATATATATATATATATATATATATATATCAGTTGTATGAAAATATATGTATAGATTATATTAGAAATTATTTATATATATATATATAAAATATAGTAGTGTATGCATATATATATATGCTTATATATATATATATATATATATATATATATATATATACATAGATAGATAGATAGATAGATAGATAAAGAAAGAAAGAAAGAAAGAAAGAAAAGAAAAAAAAAAAAAGAAAGAAAAAGAAAGAAAATGAAAGGCTCGAATTGAGGAATCGGAGAAATGAATTCGAATAACAGTCGATTCCATTACATTCACTTACGTGCTTATAACTTTAATCCTTTTCTTCTCTTCCCCTCCAGCTATGGGTAAATAACAGGACAGTTAGGGTTCTATAGACTTGGGTGGCAACTCGTCCAAGAGAAGGACAACTCTGAATTCAAAATCTGCAGAAAGTTGTTTGGATACCTTGTGGCACATTGTGCAACAGTTTTCTATATTCTGTTCTTCCAAAGATTTTGCAACAAGACTTCACCACTATAAACAAATGATATGTGCGGATATCCGATTCCATTACATTCTAGGTGCTTATTGCTTGACCTTTACTTCTCCTGTATACCCCGGTCTATCTTAAAATAGGAAAATATTTGTCTTAAAATGGTTCTGTAAATATCGAGCAATATTTTAAACACCAGCACTCTATGACAGTTATATATATATATTAAGGGTTCTTTATAGTTTAACTTGGGTACAAGGTTTATAATAAACAGTATTAAATAACATTTACCTGAATGTCCAAGAAAGGACAATTTACGAATTCAAAATTCGGTAGACAAGTTTATAAGCAGTAAATTGTTTGGCGTAAATACGGTTCCGTATAGGATGCATTGTGCAATAGTTTTCTATATTCTGTTCTTCCAAAGATTTTGCAACAAGACTTCACCACTATAAACAAATGATATATATATATGCGGATATCCTCCTTCAGCTGTTGGTTTCTCTTTCCTGGAATAAATTGCCAATGACCCTTCATACTTTTTTCCTTTTCAGGCTTGTGCACTAAATCGACGACAACTATCAACCTCAAAATGTAGTCCTGTATACTGAAATCACGGTCTATCTTAAAATAGGAAAAATATTTTTGTACTGTCATTAAAATATATATTATAGTTCTGTTAACCTTTTATATCGAGGAGAATCAATATTTTCCACGTTAAACCGTAACAGCCAACATAACAGCCACGGCCCTCTACAAATGGTGACCTGGACGTGATTTTTCCATCCTGCTAAAAAACACACAAGACGATATATATTTCTTATACATACCTTCCCAAAAAGAGAGCCAGATAGGAAAAAATTGATTCTTTTCGTTCTATCAACGAAAGAACAACATATATAAGACGAACCTATATGGTCTATATGACCCTTTCTTTCTCTCGGCGACGTTTGACCTAATTTCACCCGGAGACATGCTTAAGGCTGTACCAAACGGAAAACAACGCTATTTTCTACTAACACTTTAAATAGAAAAAAGTTAACCAAACCACTGGACGACTCACTTTCCATTATATACGATTTTCCAAACCATTGCAGACGACTCACTGTCTCAATTTTAAACAACATTCGTGATTCCGACATGAAAGCAACACTAACTTACACCACGTGGCGATATCTTCACGCCACTGCTTTTCTCATTCCTCTCAAACACACGTGGACATTCTATTCAACACAACTTCAACTGACTACACATCCACTCACATTGTGCTCTAAACATTTATTTCAAATGTCCAATAAAGTCTTAAAGGCAATTCACCGTCCTTCTTCTCATTCTGCAATTACGCGACCCAAACAAACCGAGATTTTGCCAGAACGATACTCTATCGTCAATAATACCAAATTCTCCCAACCTACATTCGACACTCGGTAGAAATTCAGCTCAACTTTACGCTGCGTCTATTAACTTTAGTGCGCCGATGAAACCCACACGAACCACCTCGTTTTTCAAAACCAACCAAACAAGCCAGCAGACAGGTGCATAGATCGACACAACCAACTCAACGTGGAGCAAAAAAGACAAATTTTGATAGCAACGCAGACCACTTTTTACAGGACGCCCAATTCTAACTCACTGAAATATAACACTGCACCCTGAGACAACACTACATTTCGTCAATCACGAATCTCAACCACACTTCTGACACATTTTCTTTTCAGCCCACAAGAACAATATTCAGACTTTAACGAACCTTTTTCTTTATATATTAAAAGTTTTCATTTTTCCTTACAACCTTTAATCTGGTGGGGTATTGTCGGAGTTACCTCCTCCTTCAGCTTAACCCTTTAAGGTCTCTCTTTCCTGGCTATAAATAGCCAATGACCCTTTCGACCTCTTTTTTCCTTTTCAGGCTTGTAAACAGAGGTAAATTTTCTTCTTCCTAGAGGATTTCAACTATCAACCTCAAAATGTAAAACAAAGAAATAGCTCACGCTAAGTATCTACACACGCTCGCAAATATTCAACACTTTGTCCTTTGTACTGTTTTCTTGTATTGTAACTTGTTAAATATATATTTAATTGTGTATACATATATTATCGGTCTTGTTTTGTTTGCTTTCTTTTTCCTTCTTCTTTGACTTAATCAAAGTCCAACCTTTTTATGTAATGTAAAGAATCTGAACCTTATTTCGTCCACGTCTGTCTTCTCTCTCAACAAACCGTAACCGCCAACATAACAGCCACGGCCCCTCTACAAATATATTTGTACATAAAGGTTAATGGTCAGAGTTGAATCAGAACAGGGAACAGTAGTATTAAAAAGTGCTCAATACACGTGAGAAAAAAATATAAGTTAAAATAATACGTAGAGTTTTTAAGTTTAATAATCAGGAGGTCAATTAAAATAAGCGACCACGGTTTCTACCTGATGATCTCTTCGGACGATACGTTTAAAATGCCCACTTTAACGTTAATTTAAAACAAAAACAAACAAAAAAAAACACTAAGAACGCTACGCTAATTATCTTTAAAAAAAGAATAACAGGCGTATGATGATTGAAAGACAGGGCATTGTGTGTAATGAGAAGGAAAAGGGAGAAGGAGGTGAAAGAAAGAATGGAAGGGAACGGAAATGCATACAGTAAAATGAAAAGCAAATATGTAACTTGTTATGGGGATGGGTGGGAAGCGTCTCTAAAGGGTAACAGTGTTTTTGTTTTGTTTTTTTATTTTAGATTTTCATATTCACTTAATAATTTTTTTAAGTGGTCTGAAGGAGAAATGGAAAGTCCGGTTAACGACATGTGAATTCACTTTCCATTTATATGTACAATCATATATCTGTTTATCTTGTACACACACACACACACACACACACACACATACACATATATATATATATATATATATATATATATATATATATATATATATATATATATATAGATACACCTAGTAAGTCAGACAAAGCTACCTAGGTTTCACCTATTCAACTATTGAACTCTAAAACTGAAATTCTCAATGTATGTAGACATAAAAACCATGGCTACTAAATTAGACATTTTTCCCGTTAATGACTTTCCACTGAGGTTTTTTTTTTTTTTTTTTTTGTTGAATAAATATTTAACCCCCCCACTTAGGTTGTTTTTTGTTTTGTTTTGTTTTTTTTGTTTTTTGTCATGTGATTTTACCTATAAATGTGTGTTTTCCTTTGCCTTGTTAGCCAACCTTTCCCTGACGATCCGTTTGGGTGAAACCTAGGTAGGTTTGTCTGGCTCACTAGGTGTATCTAGGTTTGCTCTACGATTGTATTGAGCTCTTTTGTTAGTTAGTTGTTACTCGTATCGGGGTTTTTTCTTTGGGCTTCAGACCTGCATCTGTGCGATTTTTTTTTGTCGGCAGAAGTTCATGTTTGTAGCTCTTTCTTTTTTTAAAACCTTTTTTTCCCTCGAAATTGATTTGATTAACAAATCAAAAATTCGAGGGTTTTTCGAAACGAGTCTAGTTATTTATATATATATATATATATGACAAACGTGACAAGCGGCATACACCCTGGGCGGATTGAGCCGGCTTCTTCCTGTTATGAGAAGAAGATTCTTGGGATAAATTACAGAAGTAGGGTACCCAGGCCTACTCGGATAACGTTCTTGCTTGCCGCGGGGTTCCCACAGACGCAGAGATAGGAACGACCAGAAGCCGCCGGTTACCGATGCAGACGCTCCTTGGATTTTCAACAGAGCCCTTGTTAGCCGGCGTGTGTGTCAGACCTGTCCGCCTTGGGTGGCCCTACCAGGAACGAAGTTCCGGGCGGCATAGCTCTGACACTACCGTTTACACCCCCCCGCCACCGACTGTGAGGTAAGGGTTGGACTTACAGTACCAGGTGTTCCCAAGCGGTCCCCCATCTAAGTACTGACCTGGCTCTATATATATATATATATATATATATATATATATATATATATATATATATATAAGCGATAGAAATTATTATTATTAGGAGGATTTAAAAAAATTATAATTAAGTAATTCATCGAGTCTAGAAGAAACCTCAACGGAATGCAGAAAGCACTGGATGGCCGTTTCGTCCTATATTTGGGACTCATCAGCATCCACTACCGAGAATTAAAACCCGGACAGTTACGTTATCAGGCAAAGGTCATAACAACTGTATCAACGGGCCTCGGTTACGAAGAGGTCGCGAATTAAACTCGATATAGCGCCGTTCGATCACATATTCCGCGGCGGAACTCATCTAAGTTTCCCTTACCCATAGGACTGTGCCCCTACAAGCCATAACTACTATCCCCAACCCGCTCCATCCAGAGCATTAGAAGCCGGTTCAAGAAAATCCTCCTAATAATTACTATCACTTGTATTGCTGCTCAGACATAGAGAGACCGTGACACAACCTTCAATGAATGTTTTAAACTGAATGAGCATGATGATGATGATGATGCAAAGAACCCCTTTTTCCCTTGACATTTCGCTGCATTGTGTGTTTAATAAGCGCTCTAGAAGATGCACACAGAAAAATTTCATTTACAAATGTTGCTGCCCCATATTTCAGGAACCGTGAACTTCCAGGATTTGCGCACTGTAAATGGAGAAATCTTGCCAACATTTAAGGCAGTGTGTCTTCTCTCAAATAATGACACTCTGGAATATGCATTCGTAAAAACTGTTGCCCGTCGGATGCCCTTTCAGTTGCATGTTATGTTTGCTTCCTTGTGCACGTATATGTACTCTGCAAATTCTCTTCACCTGTGGAGCACTCACAAGGAATCAATAATTGAATGCAGACCATACAGAAAACATGGCACTACGCTCAAATGACGCAATTATGATAGAGAATGGCATTAATTGTTAAGCAACTGGTCTGCCTGAGCCTATTCGATTACAGCACCCTGACTATAATGAAGACCTCGATCACCCAGGCATTGCAACACTTACTGGTGAATAAAGATTGATTTCTAATTCTATGCTTGAATGTGCAGATAAGAAGAAGGGAGGTGAGGTGCCCAAAACTCCTGTTTCTATGTAGATACACTAGGAGTTAGTGGTAAAATTTATATGATTAATATCATAATTTCATATCTGAAGTGGTGCTTGGACAGGCATTGCCTCTGCATTATTGTTAAGTGCAAAGAATATCCATACATTGCCTGTCCCACTCACGGCAACAGCGTTTGTTATGTACCAGTTATTTCAAACCATGCAAATTATTTCCGAAACCTGGATTTGATTATCTTGGATGAAGGCTCTTCTATGATCCCTTCATTTGCTCTTCATGCTATTGATAAAGCCTTGGCATTGCAGCTGTTT